CGCTTGTTGGTAAATAACCGCTCCCAGGAACATGCCGAGGACGGGAGAAGGCGACGGGGGGCTTCAATGGGAGAGCCTGGCTTTGGAGCGGGGGCGCACCCGGCGCGCCTTCAGAGAAGGGGGGCCCGCGGAGCGCTGGGAGCCCTGGAATGGGAGCGAGAGGGGCGGCCGCGAGTGCCTCAGAGGAGCTTTGAGGAAGAGGAAATCGAGAACTCAGTCGTCCGGGGGGTGCGCGCGTGTGTTTGTGCTTGGGAACTCTGCTGTGCCGCGGGCGCGCGCGAGGGCGGCGAGCGCGAGTGAGTGAAGGAGGGAGGGAGGTAAGGAGGGAGGGAGAGAAGGAGTGCGTGCGATCGCAGGGTCTTCGGAGCCAGAGGACTCCCAGCCTAGTGACCCTCTTCCGCCCAGCGACCTTTTGAAGTTGGCAGCTCTGGGCAGCGTTTGTTGGCTGGCGCAGCAATGGCCTAAAGTTGCTGGATTTTCTGACGGGTGTGAGCCCGCTCTGAGAGCCTGTGGACAGCTCCTGGGATGCAGGAGACTGAGGTTATGATGCCCCACACCCTGATCACCCACCTAAGCACATCATTGGCCATGAATTACCTGAACCCTTTTCCATTTGGTTAACACCAGGGACAAGGATCATGAGCTCCCAATTAGTTATGGGCTGGGACTGTGGAAGAATTGTTGAGTGTTGTTGTTGTTTTAAATTTAATTTTCTTGAATAAAATAGAAGTAATGATCCGTATCTATACAACGTTGGGAATACCTGTCGCAAGCATTTTCAGATTTGCGAAATCTGGCAGCATCTTGATAGGGCCTCCCTTGACCAGGGCTTTCCATACTCTTTCAGTACCCTGGGATGTTTCATGGATTATTTTCTTCCAATTCACAGATGAGGGACTCAGGTGCAAAGGAGTATTTGGGGAAGTAGCTTGCCCCACTGCATTGAGTTGATTCTGACCCATAGTGACCCTATAGGACAGAACTATCCCCTATAGTTTCCGAGGCTGAATCTGTATTCCAGCAGACTGCCGTCTTTCTGCCTGAGAGCTGACAGGTGGATGGACCTACTAGAATCTCTTGGTCAGCCGCCCAAAGCTTTAGCTGCTTGCCCAGCTGGAAAAATGGCTTTTTTTTTTTCTCATAGCAGATATTTTGACTTTTTACTCTTTATGGTATATTTCCTATCTCTTTGAGACTGTGGTTAAAAGGCATATTGCCATTTTTCCTCCTATAATTGTTACTCACTTTTTCGTGTTGGGGTTAATCAGGTGAGCTGGTGGTCTGTCTCCTTGGGAAACTGGGAGGGAATGATCTGCATGCGGGAACACCTCATTGGGGGAAGGGAGCTGGGAAGAGGAAGTTTCATCATTCTGTAGGGAGGCATAGGCTGGGAAGCAGGTCCAGACTGAGTGTGTGTGGGGAATTCAGGATCTGGAATGGTCCATGCTTGGCCTATTGGATGGTGCTTCTGATACTTGGTCATCGCCTCCACTCCCCTTGCCATTCCTATCTCATCTCTCCGCCCCAGTTAATTGCAGCCATTCCGATGTCCTTCTGTTCCCTCTTTCCCCTCTGGGCCCTGTCCCCAGGGCCTTAACACAAACTATTAGATTGCCATGAGGAACGCCACATCTTCCCACTCCTTTGCTTCTTCTCGGTCTTTGCCAGTCAGTTTATCCAGGATCTTCCCAGACCACCACAAACTGGCGATTCATTCCTGGTCCTCTTTCCTCTTAGCATTTACTTCTCCCCCTGACATACATGTGTTGGCTTGTTTGATCATGTTGTCTCCTCTGCTAGAATGCAAGCTCAATGAGGACAGAGAAACTGACTTCTTTAGAACTCCAGAGCCTATTGCAGTGGTTCTCAGCTTGTGGGTCAAGACCCCTTTGAGGGTCAAACAACCCTTTCACAGGGGTCGCCCCATTCACAACGGTAGCAAAATGACAGTGATGATGTAGCAACCAAAATAATTTTGTGGTCGGGGGGTCACCAAAACATGAGGAACTGTATTAAAGGTTCGTGGCATTAGGAAGGCTGAGAACTGCTCTAGAGAGTCCCAGCATGGAGCAGGAGCTCAGCAAACCTACGTTGATTGATGGAGAGAAGCCTACAGAAGGAGGCAGCCACCAGGGAAATAGACCTGGAGCACTTTGTGACCCCAGTGACAAGGTAGCTACCCCAATAATGGGTTTCTCCTCTTTTCTTCCTATCCTCCCTGGCCCCAGGCCCAACCTTGTTTCATTCAGACCCTTTTCTGTCTTAAGTGGATTTCTTCAGAATTCCAGACAGAACAGAGAGGCGATTGCTCAAGAGAGTGGAAGAGCAAGTCCATTTGATAAAGAAAGTATGGCACCTTCACCACACTCCGTGAAGCTCAGAGTCTGCTCTCAGTGCATGGGCGGTTTTTGCCAACATCATAATCCCCTAGGACAGTGGTTCTCAACCCGTTGGGGGTTGAACGCCCCTTTTACAGGGGTCACCCAATTCATAACAGTAGCAAAATCACCGTTATGTAGTAGCAATGAAAATAACTATGGTTAGGGGGCCACTACAACATGAGGACCTGTATGAAAGGGTGGTGGCATTAGGAAGGTTGAGAACCCCTGTCCTAGAAAGATTCCCTCCTCTGCGAGGAGAAGAAGTCAGCCCAGTCCACTGTGTCACTGTCTACTCCCAGAAGATGGGAGCGAAGGCAGAGGTGAGGGCTAGGGAGGGCAGGGGAGGAAGGCAGAAAGAGAACAAGGCAGGAAGAGAGAGGTAGACAATGACTCCGGAAAACCAATGGGACTTCTATAGGTGCCCCTAAGGCATCGCGTTTATTAAATCATGTTAATGAAGATAGGAAATACTTAACTGCTTTAAAATATTTTTTCTGCCTTGAGGGGAGAAAAGCGTTTGGCTGCTAACCACAAAATTGGCAGTTCAAACCCACCCACTGCTTCACAGGAGAAAGATGAGTCTGTCTGTTCTGGTAAAGATTTGCAAAGCCACATAACCACACACCCCCTATATTATTATTATGAAAATAATAATAGTATATAATTTCTCAAGGGGTCACGAGGGTAGATGGGGGAGGGGCTCATGAGGGTAGGTGGGGGGAGGGAGGGAAAAAAGGGGAACTAATACCAAGGGCTCAAATAGAATGTAAATGTTTAGAAAATAATGATGGCAACATGTACAAATATGCTTGATACAATTGATGTCTGAAGTGTTATAAGAACTGTAAGAGCCCCCAATAAAATTATCTTTTAATTAAAAAATAAATAAAATACTGAGATCAGGGGGAAATATTTGCAAAGCCTCGGAATCCCTATATAATGTCACCGTGAGTTGGAAAGGCCTCAATGGCAGGGCACTTGGGTGGGTGCCCAAGGGAGGGCAAGGGAGGACTCGGAAGCCTTTTGACAAGACTGTGGCTGGGGCTTGTCCTGGGGATCTGCTGAGCATACACTTGGCTTACTGCATCCTCTTGCCAGCACTGAAGGTGTAGAGCAGAGTTCCTCAAACTTTAAACAAGGGCCCAGTTTACTGTCCCTCAGACCGGACTATAGTATTAAAAAAATCTATGAACAAATTCCAGTGCACACTGGATGAGTCAGCTGCTAAGCAGGACAGGCAGCAGCGGCAAAAACACCCCGCAGGCCGGATAAATGTCCTCGGCGGTCCGCAGTGTGAGGACTCCTGGTGTAGAGGTTATAACTGGTATGGAGGAAGTCTCTCCTGCTCAGGTCTAAGAGAGTGGAGTCCTTTCAGATCTGTCCGTGTAGCCTGCAACCGCTCCTTAATGCTTGAAGCTGTGGAAAGGGGTAGAGTGGGTTTTTAAGACATCTTGTTGAATTTGGAAAAGGCTAAGAAGTACTAAGGATCCCTGGTGGCATAGTGGGTTACTCGATAGGCTGTTAACTGCATGATTGGCAGTTCAAATCCACCAGCTGCTTCTCAGGAGAAACACGAGGCTTTCTGCTCCCGTCAAAACTTAGGGCCTTGGAAATCCTCAGGAGCAGTTCTGCTGTGTCCTATAGGGTCACTGTGAGTTGGAAATCAAGCCAATTGCAGCGAGTTTGAGTTTGGTTTTGGTTGGTGAAATATTAAACTCATTTCTTCCCCCCAAGGCCCAAAGTGGCTGTTGTTAGTTCTACAACTTTAGTTCTGCTTTCTTCTAGTCAACTAAAAAAACCCACAAAAACCACCCAAACACACACACACACACACACACACTGTGAAAACCGACAAAGCACCTGTTGCTCTAGAGTTGCTTCTGATTCACAGCTGCCCCGTGCACTATT